ACACTCTTGCCTACCATTCCCAGATAAACTGACACGGTTTAATGTGTCTATGGTAACCAGATGCCCTTTCTGTTTGAACAGCCAGGAATCCCAGAATCACTGCCTCTTCTCATGCTCTAACATTAGACCTATATGGTTCTATTTTTCTTCTCTTATGCAGGTGGGAACAACAGAAAACAATGACCTAAGACAAACTCTGTTTCTCTGGTGGATTGAAAGGAAGGACAACACAACCAGAGGCACTCTTAGACAAGCGCTCCCTGGAATTATACTTTGGCACATCTGGAAAGCTTACAACTCCTACGTGTGGGACAACAAACAATTCTCGAGGTCTAGAACTATCGCAAACATTAAGGAATACACATCCAAATGCATCTTTGCAAATCAACATAGATCATGCATACAGTTTGACTTTGACATCCACAACGATGGGCTTATGCCACTGCTAAGGAAAAACAGGAAGAAAACACACATACTGAGATGGAAAGCAAACTCACAGCATCAACTCACGCTCAATACCGATGCTGCATTCAAGAACACCAACGCAGCAGGTGGCGCAATCCTGAGGGACAATTCTGGACGTCTACACGAGGCTATGGCCTTCCCTATCATAGCTTCCGACCCCACTCAAGCAAAAATTGAGGCCCTCCATACCTCGATACAATTAATGGCAGAAAAGGGTTACTTCCCAATAAGCATTTTTACAGACTCAGAACAATCAGTGTGTATGATCAACGAACTGGACACAGTACCTACGTACCTTTCATCGACAATAAACAGCATCAACAACCTCAGGGTTGCTTACAAGCTCTCCATTTCCCACCGACCCCGCGAAACCAACACGGTAGCCCATCACCTAGCACGAACAGGTCTCCTATCACCAAACCTCCAATTTTTCAAGGCCAGCGACCTCCCCCCCAGAGCAAAAAAGGCATACAATAATGACTTGGAAGGAATTACCTACTTCCGTGACGCCGGCTGAAGCGCAGAACCTCAGCTCCAGAGAATCGATGCTCGAAAACCTTTTGACGGCTCTAGAGCTCTCACCATTGAGGTGATAAAAGTTTTTGTTTGGACCCTAATATTCCCTAAATTTGGACGGTTGCTGTTGGAAGGGTCCCCGTGGCCCAAGTTCCGACCCACTTGATTTTTGAGGCCCTTTGTAACCTATTTTCTCATTTGTACTAATTTGTAATCCCTGTAATTCAACACTCCTGCTTAATCTAATCATGGTAGATGTTCCCCGACATTTACCACACCTAACTTATTAGGTGGTTCTCGGGATAAAAAAAAAGATAAATAAGTTGATTTCGTGCAAGTAACAAAAAAAATTGGATATGAACAAGTAGAGAAGAAGAGTATGAAGAAGGACGAAGGGGATGAAGAAGAAGATCAAATCTTCTTTTAGATAACCGAATGGGCAGGGTAGAGAGGGAAGGGAGAAGGTAGAGAGGGGAAGAGAGAAGGGAGGGGAGGAAAAAATGAGAAAACGAGAATGGCAAATTTTTAAGATTATATAGTGTGTACAAATTTTGTAAAACTTGTGCGCAAACAGTAAAATTAATGCAATTATAGGTGAATAGCGATGGCTGGGAATTAAACCCTAGGCGACATCAGTGGATTTTTCTTTATTTTTATTCCGATCAGTTAGTGTAAAAGGTGTTCAATCACAACACTCCACGATTTGGTGTCACACAACCACTTCTCTTCTCTGTTTCAGGCTTTTTGGAGTTTTGGATTTTATTCTTAAGTTTGCCTTTTTCGAACTTATGTAATGTTTATCATCTGAGAGTTTTTGTAACATTCCCCCGTGGACGTCTTTGTGAGGTTCGTATACGTTGCAACAACCCAACTGATTGGGATTCTTGATTCGTACTTGCCACGCCTCGGACCTACCTGAACACATCAACAATCGTAGTAAAGTCCGAATAGTCAACTAAAGTCAAGCAAACTCGTACTATACGAGACATCATGAATATCATTCACATATGGTACATCCATAAACAAACATAACGTAAAGTATTCATTTAAGCAGAAGAATAAATGTAATAAGAGTTCAAGCCACATTGGGCAAACTTGGACATGCAAGCTCCCAAATAGTTTGTAAGAAAATATTTTTCATGAGCATTATTATAATTGTTTTCAAAACAGAATCAGAGAAACCACGAACCAAGTCTTCCCTCCAAGATCCTCTTGAAGCAATGGGTACTGATAGCAAGCTCTAACTTCTACCTTAAACTGTGAGGTGGCCTCCACCTGGAAGGGGAGGTCAGTACTTTGAAACATTTGAAAAGTACAATGACAACTACACTATATATAATCAATTTTTCAATTCCTAAGATCCTCAAATAGGGTGATATCATAATATAGGCGATGGATCATCTTTACCCCTTGTCATTTATATAATAAGTTAATTTTTCGGCATGTAGGCCCATTTAGTAATTTATTTTATTTATCGTTCACACGATACAACCCGTATGTCTTACCAATCATACAGGACTTGCCACCACTGTCGGAGGCCTTGTGGGATCCTCGGACCAGTGTCCAACATCCCGCCCTGGACTCAGACCTTTCATATCGTAGGAAGGTAAGGTCCATTCGGGGTCCTATCTTAAGTGTTACCGTTGTAGGGAGTCTCGTAAGATCTCTCCTGCGGATTCCACTCCTACATGTGATCACGCTATAAGTTAATGTTATCGTGCACGCTCTCTAGAGTTGGGTCGGGCCATGGTCCTCACTTTTTACCATTATTCACCCCGGTTATTCTCAAGGACTATCTGAAACACCCGTATGCCAATCCTATATCTAATGGGCAGTTATTCCATGCTTCCTATTCCAAGGAGAGGTGAATTTACTGTCTGGAAGGCCCGATTCCTCAATTTTTTACGAATGGAGGGAATATTCTTACATCTCTCAATGAAGGACCAGTTGAATATTGGGTAGATGCTCCGGGCGATACAACCAATAATCCTCCACTCCCTCTAAAGAAGGTTCCAAAATCTGAAGACGAGTAAACTGAATCTAAAAAACTAAGAGCTAAAGCTGATTACCTTGCTGCAACATATCTACAATAATCTATCCAAAATGAGCTCTTTATGCAAAATGAGCTCTTTATGCAAACTGATGTAGGTATAAAAACTAAGCGAGCTCACACTCTTACTGCCTATGACTCGTTCACTGCAAGAGGTGATGAAGACCTGGAAGATACTTATCAGCGATATCTGATGATCCTTAATGAGATGAGAAAGATTAACATTCGGAAGACCAACATGGTGGTTAATTTGCGCTTTCTAAGATCTCTGAAGACTGAATGGAAGAAAACCGCAAAGAGAGTTAGACAAACAACGGATTTGGATGAGCTAACCATCCACAATGTCTATGACTGTCTAGGAGAATTCTCTGAAGATGATCTTGAAAAGGTGAAAGTTTCAAAAGAGAAGAATATTGTTGATTCTCTTTCTCGCAAGAGTCGCGCATGGAAAATGAAAAGAGCTTCTCATAAGGCAAAAATCCATTGCATCTATTGCACGCCCTCTGGACCTTCTTCACATGAATCTTTGTGGGCCCACACGTACACAAAGCATCAATGGGAAGAAATACATTCTCGTGATAGTAGATGACTACTCACGATACACGTGGATCCGATTCTTATGCTTAAAAGACGAAGTTGCATACATCATAGTCACTTTTGTTTGAACCACTAAGAATCTACTCCAGGCAACTATTATCTTCATTGGTTTAGACAACGACACTGAGTTCAAGAATCAGCAATTCTCTGCAGCAAAGACCCCTCGTCAGAATGAGGTAGTTGAACGAAAGAACATAACTCTTGTTGAAGCTACTAGAATCATGCTTATTCACTCCAAACTTCAATGTTTTCTCTGGGCTGAATCAATCAACACTGCATGCTTCACTCAGAACTGGACCTCAATTCATAAAAGTAACTTGACAAAGAAGACCGAAGTAAACTTGAGCCCGAAAGCATTTGAAGACGTGTTCATTGGCCACTCATTTTCCTCCAAAGCATACAAAGTCTACATCAGAGACAATAAGAAGGTCATTGAAAGTGTCAATGTGACCTTTGACGAAAAGGAAGAACAAGCTTCTGTTCATATTTGTTCAGAACCCACGTCATCTTCCTCACCTGATTCAAACATTGTGGATCTTAACCTACTATTTGATCAAATCTATGAGAATCCACACCTTTATGATCGATCTCCTCCACGGCCAACTACATCTACTACAACATCTTTAGTGCCTCGTCTTTAGTGCTAAAGAAGCGGTGATTATAAAAAAAAGAAATTTGGGGAAAACAAAATAAAATAAAATAAAAAAATAAAATTAAAAAAAATCTAAAAAAGTAAAATAAAATACCTAAAAAACATTACAAAATATGTAGGCCACCACCTCTGCATCCCCCACCTCCCAACACCACCACCTCCGAACACTTTTAAATGTCATCTTTTGTAAACAATACCACATTTCTCTGAAAATGCCATGAATGTGACATTTTTACTTGTTAAAAATATCATGCTTGCTTTTCTAATTTGCCATCACGATGACATTTTTTCCCCAACTTGGCAATCTTTTCCGGCGACTGAAGGTGACAGTGCTGGAAGGTGGCTAAGGTGGTGGTTGAGGTTTGTATATCTTTTATGATTTTTATATATATTTTTAATTTTTTTATGTTTTATAATTATTATTTAAAAAATTCTATTAGGAGGAACAAGAGAAAGGGTAGAATAGGAAGAGTTAGTTGTATTTTGGGAATTTAAACTTTGAACTCTTACCGTTATAATTATCTTTTTATTTAGTTCTATTTAGGTAAATATCCCAATTTTCATTTGCAAACGCTATTTTTAACTTTTATAAGCCAAAAATCAGAAAAGTGCATTTGAAAAGAAATGGAAAACACATCCTAAGGAGTATTTAACCAATCTAATAACCTATGGAAAATGAACAGTACTTTTTTTCTAAAACAAACAAGAGAAGTATATTACTCCGTATTAGACTACTTTATTTCTCTCAAAAAAAAATCCTCCATCTCCTTATGTCTAATTTTCCAAACACACTTAAAATCCATTGGATCTGCTGGTTGAGTGATAATTTTCTATGACTTTTTGGGATATCTCACAACCTCTTCATTCTTTGGAAACATATATACAAGGCTAAAGCGTCAAATAGGTACATGAACTAACTTAAAGTGTTCAATTAGACCCATATATAGAAGGTTCTGCCCGGTCGTCACCAATTAGGGAAGTTCCCGGTGGAATTTTTTGATGAAATTTATTCAGCATGTTCTTCATTAAGTCTAGTTTACTCATACCAAATTTCAGCTAAAAATTAAATCGAGAAGACAGTCAAATGATTTTCCGAAATGTACTGCGCTGTTTAACTGAACAGTTATCTTCAAAAAATCATTTCACTGCCTTCCCAGTTGAATTGTTAGCTGAAATTTGGTATGGGTAAACTAGACTTAATGAAGAAGATCCTCAAAAAATTTCATCAAAAAATTCCACCAGAAACCATCCCAATTGACGACGTCCGTGCAGAACCTCCTATATAAGGGTCTAATTGAACACTTTAAATAAGTTCATGTACCTAACCCTTTAGCCTATGTACGACTAACAATTTTCTCCTCTCATAATAACAAACACGAACACAACTGCATTTCTCCCACTCAAAACACAATTTTTCAAAACAAGTGGAGAATTTAAATAGTAACTTCCATGAAATAAACTAGTCCAGTTGCATTTACATTAAGTTGCTATATCGTATTGAATGTGTCTGAGAACGACGGGAACCACGACATCCGGCGAGCTTAGCTGCGGAAGATGGCCGTCGGTGGACATCACCTCCACGACGGAGTCGCCACCGAGATTCTGGTGAAGGTACTCGGAGACGACAACGGGCACCGCGGAGTCCTTCATGCTCTGGATTATGTGACAGGGCACGGTGACGTGACTCAAGAGATGTCGGAGGTCGCTCTGAAATATGGTTTGGAGCACACAGAGAGCTATGTCCGGCCGCATGTTGAACAACGTCCGGCTGAATTCTTGAACCGCGACGGAATCCATGTCCCCTCCGACGGCCAATGGTGCAAATCCTGAGCACCATGCTTTGTAGTTTGATCGCATTGCATCGAATAGCTGCTCCAAATCTTCTACCTCAAACCCCCCATAGTAGTCCACATCGTTCAGATACCTAATTTGAATGCACAAATTCTATCATATAATTCATCTTTAAACAAATTTCAGTAGAATATATAGGATTAAAACATAACAAACGTGTCCAAGTATGAAGTATCTATGTTTCATTCTTATTTTAAGAGAGATAGATCATATGACTCATATTCATAGTTTACCACATTTGTGTAATATCTACTTTTATATATACTCTTGTGCACTTTTATTCCCGTGTTACACTCGAGATAACATTTTAAAGTGAACAATTTTGTTCACCCCTCAAAAAAGGGCGAACATCACTCTCCACCCTCCAATGATGGTATAGCAATAGCAATTTATTTTAATCTTGAAATTGTTATTACCTTTTCATTTTTGGTTCAACTTTTTCAAAAAATGTATCAATATTTTTAATTTTTATGATCCTTCATACTATTATTGCATATGTAAAATTAAAAAAAGGCTGAAAATAAATTTAAGAAAAAATAATTCAATTTTAAATATGCAATATGCATATCATTGAAAACATCATAAAAAGTTATTAAATCTGATATATTTTTTTGAAAAATCAATTATAAATAAAGAAGTTATACAGAGTAACAATTTTAAGGAAAAACAGAAATGTGATGCCAAATGACAATTATGGATGAAAAGGGGTGATATTCACCCTCCTAGATGGGGTGAACAAAACCGAACTCGTTTTCTAACGAGTCAACATGAATACAATATATCCATCAACATGACATCTTTCACAGTAAAAATAACATTACTACAACAAAGTAATAATGAATCAATTCCAATGTAGTTCAGACAAGTTGATTCCCATCAGGTTAGACTATACAAGATCTGATCATAATTGACGAGGCTTAACAAACAATAAAATACACATAATATAGAACATTTTCAAACAAGATCATTCATAGATCACAACTTAAACAGGCTGACTTTCAATCCAAGTAAAAACATTTCAAATTTGAAATGATGTGATCAAAATAAAAAATCTCTGTCCAAAAAAGTCAAGCCCTCATTATAATCTTTAAAGACACATTAGTGTTTGATATCTTGTTTTCTTAAGATGTGATCTCTATTCTTCTTTTTGTACATTCTCTTTTGAGTGTTGAAGTTTTGTATCGATAAACAATTTTTTCGTGTAACCTTATTGATGGTACTATAGCGTAAATACATTGTATTTTAGTAATTAGGCAATCATCCCTTAATATTTTGAAACCAGCGCCTGAAGACAAGTTTTAGAACTCGGTAAGATCTTTCTAACGAGATATTAAACGCTTTCAACGGAACAAAATAGAGCAAGATGTGATCGCATCAAATTTTACACGAGTTCAGAGTGAAATCAGAAACATTTGTGAATTTATGGCTAATCTGTAACTTTTAATTAATGCATTGTAAATGAAGTTGGAACAATAGCTTTATAGCTCCAAATTATCTTTCCAACGAGATATAATACGTTCAAAACGGAAGAAGACACAGCAAGATACGAGTATCACAAATACTTCGCCTTATCTCTATGATTTAGCGTTTTCAGCTTAAATAGAGCACCTTTAGCATAAATACAATGTATTTTAGTAATTAGTAACCTTACTAAAATACCTTTGACACACCTTGTTTGTCCATATAGACACAATTGTCTGTATACAGGCAATTCACATTGAAATACACAAGTTGTCTTATACTGACAACTCTATCAGTGTAGACAGACAAATTGTGTCAAAGGTGAACACAAAAAGGTGTACATTAAACATTTTTCTTATATGTTTCTTTTGTTATTTTTTTGTTTCAATTTTGTTATTTTTCAAAAATGTATCTCATGGCTACCTCATTTTGCTAATTAGGCACCGTATGCCTTCGATATCAACTACTCCCTCCGTCCCAAAATCATATTCCTGTATTTCCTTTTTGGGATGTCCCAAAATGATAATCATGTTTCCCTTTTTGGAAAGAAATATGTGGTTCATATCATTTCACTTTATTATATTCAAATCTCAACCACAATTTTTACCTTTTCAACCACTTTATTAAGAGGCCGTTTGACAACCCTCATTTTCGGCTTATCAAGCTTATCAGCCAACTTTTTTACCAAACACGTAAATTTTACTTTTGCGCGCTGAATTGTGTAATAAGCCGAAAAAGTAAGGTTGAAGTTACTTTTCTGGCTGTATTGGCTGAAGTTACTGTAGATGATCATTTTAGCTATTTCTACATATAATTTTTTCTTTATTTTATTAATATAATATATTTTAAAAATATTTTTTTCTTATATCAGCAGAATCAGCCAATGCAGCCACTTCAGCCAGAACTTCATAAATTTCAACAGAATCAGCCAAAACAGCCGATTTTCATGCTACCAAACGGGCTCTAAAACTTGTGCCCAAAAGAAATGAGACTATCAAATTGGGACGGAGGGAGTACTAATTACTCGGTCCTTTTTACTCCCCACACGCATCTGGTCCTTTTTACATCCGATCCGAGTAGCAGGCCAATTAGGTACTCTCTCCGTTCCTAAATAAACTTCCAACTTTCCTTTTTCGTCCGTTCCAATTAAAACTTCCACTTTCCCTTTTTGGTAAAGAATTTGTGGTTCACAACATTTCTTACACATTTCTCTCTCCTCTGCACAACTCTCCACCACACGATATCCACTATCTTAAACTTTGTGCCAAACCCATTTGGAAGTTAAAATGGGAACGGAGGTAGTACTACGTAGTAATTTTTATAAATCTTTTATCCCATAAAAAGTTAGTAAAGAAAAAACAAAAATAGGATTAAAAGATGGCCACTTTGCACAAATAGGATAAAAAAGAAAACCATATTTTTATAGGACTAATTATGTGTGTGTTGGACAAATACACCGTTATTGCTATTCAAATGTTTTATTTCATAATAAAATAATAAAAAACTTAAAATTTCGTAAAAAATACTAAAAATTTAATAAAAATATTTATATAATAGTAATTCAATTTTTTAAAAAAACGCAAAAAAAATCACCGCCGCCTCTACCGCCACAGCACGACCACCTCCAGCCACCAGGAGGGAAAAATGCCACATCCATTACGAATTCTATTTTTATGGCAGAATCAATGAAAATGTTGGCATTCGCAAAAGAGTAATATGCCATTTTTTGTGGCATTTTCAGAAAAATGACAGGTTTTAGAAAAAAATAGCATTTTTTACACCGGTCGGAGGTGGTAGTGCAGGGAGGCATTACCAGTAGTAGGAAAGGGATCTAATTTTAAAAAATTAAAAAATTAAAAAAATGCCACATGCATTAGGAAATGTCATATTTATGGCAGATTTCAATGGAAACATTGACATTCTCAAGAAGTAATATGTATTTTTTTTGGAATTTTCAGAAAATATGGCATTTTTTACAACAATCAGAGGTGGTGGTGCAGGGAGGTAGTACAGGCAGTGGGAAAGGCATCCATATATTTTTTAATTTTTTTATGGAATTTTAATATTTTTTATTATTTTTTTTCAAAAAATACTTTTAAAAAAAGAAAAATAATTTTTTTATTTTATAAATATTTTATTAATTTTTTTTTATTTTTCTATGATTTTTTAAAAAATTTCTTAATTTATTATGAATTTAACATTTAGTTATGACTTTTGACTATCTTTTATTCATATTTAAAGGAGGGGTAATAATGGAATGAAATAATAGATATGTTTCCAATAGGAGTAATATGGTCCTATTTTGGAATAAAAACATAACAAGTCCAATTTTGGGTTTTTGCCATACTTTTAGTCCTATTTGGAGTAATTTATTAAATGGAATATTAACACTCCAAAGTATTAAATATGAAAGTGTACTAAACCAAAGGATAACACATCATCCTCGAAAACCCTCCAAATTCGACCGTACAACTATCAGGGAGAATGCAAGTTGAGTTTTGATCACACTCTAATTAAAATTCACACTCTGATGGAAAAAGAATGAAGTTACATCTCAAGTCAATGTTTGGATGAAGGCCTAGCCAAATTTTGTGTGTGTGGAGGGACTAGAGAGTATTTGGATCATACTTGCTTCGTCCCTTAAAACTTTATCGACTTTTCGTTTTTTGTTGTTGTACGAATATATTTTCCACATATATTCTACTCCGTAGTAAATATGTATAATATGTCAAATTTTCTCCTCTTTTTATTTCTAATACTCCCTACGTTCAAATATTATCTTCATTCTTTCATTTTTCGTCTGTTCCAATATAAATTTATTTTTTCTTTTTTGGTAAAGAATGTGTGATTCACAACATTTGTCCTTACTTTCTCTCGCTCGTCTACACAATTTTAGGCCACATATTTTCTCACTTTCTTAATTCGTGTGCCAAGTGAAAACATGAGTTAATATTGAGACGGTGGGAGTACCATTTACCGCATTTCTAGAAAAATACTACTACCTCCGTCCCTTAAAACATTACCAAAGTTGAACGGCACGGAGAATAATAAAGTAAAAACTGTGTGGTTGAAGTTTGTGCAGAGGAGAGAAATAACATAAACCATAAAATAATTGACTAAAAAGGAAAGTGGCAAAGTTTTTTGGGACGTCCCAAAAAAGAAAGATGACAAAGTTTTAAGAGACGGAGGGAGTATTGGCTTAGTTAGCAACCCTCCTAATTGGATAAATGATGCACTCTTGGCATTGTAGTGGAATGAGAAGAATTTTCTTCATTTTGGAACCCCAAGAATATTTTACTTGGATTAAATTTTGCAAGCCTGATCTATTTAAGTGTGGTCTGGTATGACAAATGTCTGATTATAACTATGGAAATCCGGCTTGATCTTATTTGGTTTATTTAAGTCTAATCTGGTCTAGTCTGGTCTGTTTGAATCTAGTCCAATCTAGTCTGAGACTGAAAAATTTTACCTAAGTATGTAATAACATCCTAAATTTACACCGAATAAATTTATTGATTGTCTCACTAACTTTTTCACTTTCCCTTTTAAGTAAAAGATTTGTGGTTCCAATTAGTTCATTCTTCTCTACACAAATTTGTGGTTTTTACTTTATTAATATTTGTGTTGATTAATATTTGTCTTTTTTCATTAACCGAAGCGAGACTTCATTGTCCGTGTAGCACCGCCTAATCATTGCATGCAGTTTTCCAAAATTGTTGGTCTGAGTGCCAACTAACCATTGAAAAGTTTGTGCCATTTTTTAACATAAACTTCATTATTGTCATCGGGGACTTGATTAATTAGGTCGTATTTTTTATTTGATTGATAATGATTACGCTGCGACAAGTAAGATATACTCCCTCTGTCCTGAAATAGGACGATTATTTCGGGACGAAAGGAATAATATATATGGAGATATGTTCATTTAATCATCAATTGCGTGCTATATATGGTCTCAATGATTCGTTGGCCACAAAAAAGTGAAGTGTTTTAGCATCTTGTGCACACAAAGAGCCAGTGAGCCACTACATTGGATGAAAGTCTCACGGTACTAAAAGTCGTGAATTGAACCTAAGACTTTAATCCAACTGTCTCACTAGTCACTGTTGAGGGTAGATCTTTTTAACTATTGTTCCAAAGGTGGAATCTCCCACCCCAGGAGTCCCCCACCTCGACCTGACTGGATGGTGGGGAGGTTAGTCACGGTGACTCAGTCAGCAGAATGGTAGTAGGTCCATACACCCGTGCGCACCAGAAGCCCAGCCTTATTTCAGGTTCTGTGACCTCCACCCGGTCGCTGCGGGGATTCGAACTTTGGTCCATTGTTCCAAATCTCCCACCACTCGACCAACTGAGCTACCCGTGCGGATGTATTAGAGAGTATTTTCATTGTCACCAAAAACTTTGTCTCTTTTCTATATGAACAATAAATTTGTGATTTTGACAAAGTTTACTGGAAGTCGAACGGATGTAATCCTAGTTATAAACGTATTTGATACTGGCAATCATGGTAGGTGATCGAATAGTATACACAAATTAAAAGATTAAAAACGAGGATTCGAGGATAAGGTGGAGTAAGTTAACTGTTAGTGAATTTATTGTATAGAAATTACCCTAAATAGGAGTAAAAACGTTTTTGAAATTCTAAAATAGAAGTATCATGTTTTTTATTCCACAATAAGAGTAATCTACCAAGTTTGGAAAAAAATGTCATGTTTAAAAGCCTAGTAATGCAAACTTGGCAGAAATATACTCTTATTTAGAGAATTTACCTCTTATGATAGTCCTATTTTGAAATTTCAAAACTTTGTTACTCCTATTTAGAGAATTTAACTCTTTTTGAGCTTTTTACAAAAAGTATACAAAAAGTATTTTTATTTTTCCGTCGCATGTATACCTCTTTTTCTACATGTTAATATTATACAGACAACTTTTAAAACTTTTCCAAAAATTTTGCGCTTTGTGAGCGGATTGCTTGCAAAATAGGAAGGCGGGTACGTTACGTAGAAAATGTGTACAAATGGGGTGACCGATAATACCTAAATTGGTACTAATGTTCACAAGTCACAACTTACATAGTTACATACTCCTTATTTAGAAAGTATATGAAAAATTCTATTCAACTTCACAGTTGAATTTGAATATGTTCAAAAAGAATAGTTCGATCAAATGAATAGTAAAAGTCACAAAGTGTGATTGTATGGTGTCCTGAAAGAGTATAACTTTAACAAAAAGAAGAATTTCTAATCACCCGGTCATTTAAAATTTTGGACATTTTGTGTTCCAATTACTTTTCTCTCTCTGCACAAACATCAACGACAAAGTTTTTACTTTATTAATCTCCATGCCGGTCAAACTTGACAAAATTTTAAGGGACATAGAGAATATACAAAAGCAACACGGTTTGACACTACAAATGTGATGCAATCTCCACACATCAACATATTAGATTAAGTAGATTCTATGATACCCTTAAGGTATCATACATTTTGTCCACATGGTCCAATCAGAATGATGTAGTTGAATTATTTAAATCTAAATTAAAAGTGATGTAATGATTTGAACCAATCAAGTGAGTGGTAGGTACGGTACATCATTTTTTAAATGGGTACCGGAGTTGTCACGATTAAATTATTTCTTTAAAATTGCGTTAGTGTATATGATGATATGGTTTGAAGCGGTGGAGGACCTAGGGAGAGGCCTAGGGGGGCAAGTGCCCCCGCTTTCGGCCAGTAATTTCACGACTAGTACTTAGAGTAAAATTAGTGCCTCGCTTCCGGCCAAGAATTTCACTACTAGTGTGTCTCTACTCTGACAAATCTCTAGATCCGGCACTGGTTTGAAGTGCACGCATGTAGGATAAAATGCATATTGGGTGCGTATCAGTACCAAAAATATATTTCATCATTGTTCTAAGTGACAAGGTGTTAATAAATAAATAAATGCATGTCATTGTGTGTAGTTATAAAAATATGGAGTATATTGCATCTTATGTTTCATTTCTAAAATTGAGCCTGAATAAATTGCTCTTTATGTTTCATTTCTATTTTATTGAAAAATTAATCTGATTTTATGTATGTCCCCCTAATTTTCAAATTTTCAAATGTATTTAATGTTAGACCGGATTTTTTTGGTCCGTCTTCCCATTTTATTCATGTTTATTATCCAAAATTCTTAAATAATACTAGTATTCATTCAATAGAACTTATAAGGAGGTTTCTGAATACCTAATTTTTTTATGTAATTAATGTTCGCAACATTGTATACAGAATCTTGAAACGGGACGAAGAGAATAGTCAGAATACTAATGAATAGGCCAGGGTGTACATAAATGTATGAAGCGATGCATACCTGGGAGAGGCAGAAATGGCTACAATTTTGGTGAAAAGTTCCGGCCGGGCGATGGAGGCGATGGCACCGATCATGGCGGAGACGGAGTGGCCGACGTAAACGCACGACTGCAGTTGAAGCTCTTCCATGATCGAGATCACATCATACGCATAGCCTTCCAGCGTTGCATAGCGGTCAAAGTCAAAGTAGTCGGGGTTGGTCGTGCCGGCGCCCATGTTGTCGAAAACCACCGCCCGGTACTGCTCTACCAGGTGCGGAATGAGGTGCTTCCACACGGATTGGTCTGTACCGAACCCGTGAGCAAGCACCACAGTCCGAGTCCCCGAGCCCAAGACCCGCACGTTGTGGGCTTCCTCCACTATTCCCATATATTCCTAAACTACCCTTGCCGGAGATTGATCGGAAAGGAGATAGGGATGGGGGAAGAAGGTGGACTTTTGCTTAAGGGGGACGTTTTAGCGGTAGCTTTTGGTTGCCGATTAATTGAAGGATGTCGATAATGGTGGAATATAGTTGGATGGGGACAGGAGTTAGCTAGGCAAGGATTATGTGTAGACTAACAACCACATACTCCGTATATTGAAAGAAATTCAACACCGTGGCCTATTTTGGGACACTATTTTGCAAGTGGCAACTGTGGTTTTAAGATCATTGTATCCCTCATTATTATGTCATTTTTCTTTTCTATTTCCCATTTCAAATTTGTTCCATTTTTACTTTCTCATTGGTTACAAAGGTTGAAAAAGGATTTTTTCACAAGATCATGATAAACTAATGTTTGAAAGGGTTGAATTCTCGACCCGAGTCCCTCATGCTTCGACCAAACCAGATATTTGGAAAGTTGTAGGTCATGATGGCTTAGTTAACTCAATGATGTTAGATTTCTTACTCCGCATCAAAAATCCAATCCAACACAACTAAAGGAGCTGTAACTTGTACACAGCCGATACAGACTTCAATTATCGGTTAATGTTTCAACCTTTTCACCACTAAACAATCTGAGTTACCTGTGTGGCTAAATAAAACTAAATTAAAAAGGTATATACGAAATTAAAGTTGAATTAAAATATTTTAAAAAGGTGACAACTCCGGTACCTTTCTAAAAAAAGGGGTACCGTACCTAACTTTCATTTGATTGGACCACATTACTTTATTATTTTTAATTTAGATTTAAATAATTCAACTGCTACATTTTTATTGGTCCATGTGGACAAGTGTATGATACCTTATGGGTATCATAGAATCTACCTTTTAAAAAATATTGCTAAAATAAATGTGGGTTAAGAAAGACGTCACTTCAATTGGTGACTTTAGTTTAAAGTCAAAAGTCACGCACAAAGAATGGCAAAGTAAAAGGTAACAAAGAAGCCAGCAAAGCAAATGATTGATGATTTACCCGCATGGGTAGCTCAGTTGGTCAAGTGATGGGAAAATTGGACCAAGTGACCAAAGTTTGAAAGATGCAGCGGCCGTGTGGAGATTACAGAACCTGAAATAAGGTTGGACCTTTGGTGCGCACGTATATAAGGCCTACCGCCGCTTTGCTGACTGAGTCACCGTGATTAACCTCTCCACCATCCTGTCAGGTCGGGGTGGGGGGCTCCTAGGGTGGGAGATTCCACCTTTTGGGACCAAGCAAATGATTGATGGATCCAAAATTAAAAAGGAAAAATAATTTTAAATAATATCAAAAATCTGAATGTAAACCAAATACTCCCTCCGTCTCTCTAATATTGGGACAAGTAGAATTATGTGGTTGATAATGAGTTAATAAAGTTAGAATAAAGTAAGAATGAATTAGAACCACATAAATGTTACCAATTATACTATGAGACAATAATAGGGAGACATCCAATAATGGACAAATGAAACAATTATAAGGGGACTGAGAGAGTATAAAATAGTCATTTTCCTCAAAAAAATCCTGTCATTTAAGACATCAAAAATTAATACTAGCCGCCTCCGTCCCATTTTATGTGTTTCATTTGGTTTTGGTACAATTATAAATAAAGTAGGTGAAAAAGTAAAAGTTGTGGTTGAGATTTAAGTATAATAAAGTGAAATGTTGTGAACTACATATTACTTTCCAAAACGGAAAATGTGACACTTATTTTGGCACAACCTAAAAATGAAAGTAAGAAAGGTAAAATGGGATGGAGGGGGTATCTAATTATCAAATAATTGATATTTGGAAATACACTCACTTATTTCATATTTTGATATTACTTATTGATGAGTTAAATAACTGAATTTTTAGCAAAAATTTGCTATATATCACTTTTGATTTATACTCAAATAGTTGGTATTATTAAAAGTTATTTTTAAGGTTCGTATTATTCTTTGTTGGTAGATAGTTAGTATTATTTAAAGTTATTTTCTCAACTAAAAAAAACTCATTTTTTAATGACTATAACTTTTTTATTTCTAATCCGATTTTTACAAAAAATATATCAAAATTCATAACTTTTTATTATATTTCATATGACACCAATATTGCATATATAAATATAAAAATAAATCCTAAGATACGAGAGATGGAGGTTTTTAGGCTCATTTTTTAAAAATAGACCCAAGTTCTAAAATTAAGATCTCATGATTGTATAGTGCAATTTCATGATAAAATTAGGAGACATTTTATTTATTGACTGGAAGTGTGAATAATGAGACATTAAGAATCCGTTTGGTGAACCTGTTTTTCGGTTTATGAGCTTTATCAGACAACTCTTTCACCAAACACTTAATATTTTATTTCACGCGCTAAATTGTGTGATAATATAAATAAGTAAGGTTGAAGTTACTTTTCATTGGTTAAAGTCACTTAGAGGATCATTTTAGCTATTTTCATACTCCCTCGTCCCTTAAAACTTTGCCAAATTTGACTGGCACGGGAATTAATAAAGTAAAATTTGTGTGGTAGAGATTTGTGCAGAGGAAAGAGAATTGATTATAGCCTCAAATTCTTTACTTAGAATGGAAAGTGGCAAGGTTAGTGGAATATTCAAAAAAGGAAAGTTGGCAAAGTTTTAAGAGACGGAGGGAGCACATTTTTTTCTTTACTTTGCCAACCAAAATTTCATAAATTTCGGCGAATCAGCCGATTAAGTCCATTTTAGTATTATTAGATGGGCTCTACGATCTAAACCATTTTATTTAATAATAACAACTCAAATTGAATAAACAAAACAAAGAACCGTCACAAGCATTCTTTATTGACACTTTTAGCCAATAACTAAAATGTTTCTTATTGCCATATGAAATTACACTATACAATCCCGACATCTTAATTTTAGAAATCGGATTCACGTAAAAGAATTGAACTTAAAACGCCTATGAATCATATCTTTAGATTTATTTTTATTTTCCTATATATGTTATTGGTGTCAAATGAAAGATAATAAAAAATAATGAGTTTTGATATAGTTTTTACAAAAACCGGATCACAAATAAAAAAGTTATAAACAATTATGAAAGAGAGTGATATTTCAAATTTTGTCCATGGTATTTTGCTTTGTTGGCTTCTTCGTTCCTGGTTATATTTTTACTTGGACCGTAATTTGCTGGTATGGTCTGGTCTGGTTTCTTTGTATTTTTATAACTATCCAAGTCTGGTCTGGTCTGGTCTAGTCTGGTCTGATCTGATCTGGTCTGGTCTGGTCTGGTCTGATCTGGTCTGGTCTGAACTGATCTGGTCTGGTCTGGGAGGAATTACAGTCTAAGTAAAAACATCCTTAAAATATCACTCTCTCTTGGTTTTATTGAAGTTCATGCTGCCATCTCTAAGGACGAATTTGAACTCTGAGGACTTGCACATCTCACAGGAATTGCTGCCACTAGATATCTGTTCATGCTTCAAAACATGTCTGCCAATAGATATGGCCCTGTTCGACTCCACAGAGAACTCAAGAAATACTCCGAACATTTGATCACAAGGAAAGAAATACTCCGAACATTTGATCACAAGGATCACTTCAGTTGAAATACATTTTTTTTTCAAACCCGGTTTGAACCAAAAACCCGAGAGTTTTTGGGGTGAGAGTCAGGAAACACCTCACCTATTTATTTATTGTAATAGTAAAAAGTTACACGAGTAGGAGGGCCGAACCAAAGCATACTCAGAAGAGAAAAAGATTACCAAACATAAGGGAAACTGTCACGCCCCGGACCGCATCCGAGCCACGTAGACAACCGCCGTACAACCCGATAAGAACAACAACAGTTCATCCCTATTGGATTGTACAAGGCGTCCGATTGATTCTATTGCCAAACCGATTAGTAAACACATACAATCAACATCAATATCATTATCAAACAAATGCGAAAAAAATAAAATGTTTGATACTTAGCCACACGTGGCAAACACGGGCACGCAGGCCCCCAACTGTTTTAATGAAAATATTGTTCAAAAATCCATGAGCAGTTTATACATTTGAAATATGAATGGAAGCACGAACCACGTCTTCCTTCTCGATCGATCACCCTAGGCAAAGGTGCAGGTAGTAGGACCCTAGCCTCAACCTGAAAAATGTGAGGGCCCCCGGAGGGGTCAGTACTCCATAGAAGTACTAGTGACAAGCAGGCTATATGAAGAATAACTAATGTTTCAGACACGAGACCCAAAAATAGGGTGATACATATATATATGTGACTCATTCATCCGATGATACATACTGTATATATATATATATGTAAAATACTCGACCCGTAGGTCATTTCATTCAAAGAGTCTTTTAGAGATAAAGTTCTTACCTGACCTTTCTCACCCTTTTTCCCGAATGCCTAGCTCACCAGCTACATTCTACATTCATAATATCCTACCGAGTTTTGGGAGCATTTAGCATCCCGGGGATGCTCAACCCCAACCGAGTTTCAGGATCATTAAATGTTCCGGGGATGTTCAACCCCAACCGAGTTTCAGGATCATTTGTAGTCCCGGGGATGCTCAACCCCAACCGAGTTTCAGGATCATGTATGGTCCCGGGGATGCTCAACCCCAACCGAGTTTCAGAATCATTTAATGTCCCGGGGATGCTCAACCCCAACCGAGTTTCAGGATCATTTATAGTCCCGGGGATGCTCAACCCCAACCGAGTTTCAGGATCATCTAATGTCCCGGGGATACTCAACCCCAAACTAAATCCTTACCAAACCCTAACCTGGATATGGCTAACCTTTCGTTCCTTCAACTATGGACAATACCTAGCCCTATAGTCATATAACCATCCTTAGGGACCAATGTGGGCGGGTCCCACCTGAACGGCCCACATTAACCCGCTCAAAACTGCCCGTTTTGAGCATAAACCAATACTCGATCGAGTATCTACCCATACTCGGTCGAGTACAGGAGGCGGTAGCCCCCAAAGCTAATTTTCCATGTATACTCGATCGAGTATCTACCTATACTCGATCGGGTATAGGAGACAGTAGCCCCCTGGGCAATTTTTCAGCAAATACCCGGTCGGGTATGTGTCAATACCCGGTCGGGTATGGCAGTTGACTTGGCGGTCAACGCCCCTTTTTACCCCCCAAACGGAGTCCGATTAACTTGAAATTTTATACACATATACTTATTGATGTCCTTGATCCCAAAATACCATTTTGGATCCCTGGATCATCACACAAAATATATTA